AGTAATATTAAATTGACAACATCAAAATTGTTTTTATTCTCTAGTATGTAGAATGTTTATGAGTATCACAGGAGATCTTAACCTATTATTTAAATAAATTAGAAAATATGAGTTCTTTTTATGTTCCGTTTGGTAACATGGAAGAGTTTTTCGTGAAAGTGGAAGTGAGATGGAAATGGGGTTTTAAAACATGTATGATATGCACAGGAAAGTGGATCATTTTTTATGGAGGAAGTCAGGGAAGAAGTGGATTCCATTGGTATTGTGATGAAAGTGAGTTCCACCAATTTTGATGGAACTGCATTCTTTGAAGAAGTGATATCCATTATACTAAACAACCAATTTTTCAGTTCCACTTCCACTTCTCCAATGTCAATTCCATGCTACCAAGCAGGGCATTAATCCATTTTTTTTTAATGCGTTTGTGTGTGTTTCCTGGAGGGAATGAGGAGGAGCTTCTTTCCTCTTTTCTGCTTCACTCAATTGGTGTTTTTTGATGGTTGAGTGCAATGGGTTGAATATTATCTTTTGAGGGCCATTTATATCACTTGATATTTCTACCTTCAAACATCTTGCAACTGTTATACTTCTTAATTTTCTATTAATTATTTGAGCCTAGGTTTCTAGATGGCAAATTGGATGTCAAAAAAGGTAATGCCTTGGAGCATCCAACTTCTTCTAATGAATCCAAAAGCTCTGTCCAACATGAGTTCTCGAGCCCCGTCTCAGAAGACCCCCTCTCTACCTGTAATGAAGAGAAAAATGAGATTGAGAAAGTTCTGCGCTACTTATCAGATCAAATTGGTGATGCAGTCTGCATGTTCACTAGTAAGGGAGAATTTCCCTCTGGTATTCAGTTACCAAAAGCTTCAGTCAAAAAAGTTTCACCTGGTAAAAGGAAGTTACTAGTTAATGGATCAGAAGATCTCCTATTCAGTTGCAACATAGCATTCCAAATTGCAGCTTCTATAAAGCGAGCACAGTTAGGTGACAAAAATGCCCATCAATCAAAACTTACAAGAGATTGTACAGAAGTGAATGACTTGTCTCCTAAAATTATTGCTGAAAAGTTGGCAACATCTTTAGCTCAAACTTTAAAATGTTCAGATATATCTATAAGATCTTGCAATGGACATATGAATTTTTATTCCTCCACTAAGCAAGTTTCCTCAAGTGAAGGTGCTCAAAATGCTTCGGCTCCTAAAAAATCTGGGATAAAGCATGGGAGCGAAGGAAACTGCTTGAATAACCCTCAATGTAGTCAAGTGAAAAGCCGAAGGCTTGAGCTTCGCTTGAAAAGATCAAATTTTGATCCAGAAGAATTTGCTTTGTATAGAAGATATCAGCTCAAAGTACATAATGATAAACCAGACCATGTCACCGAGAGCTCATATAGGAGGTTTCTGGTTGATACTCCATTGTCATATGTTGCTTCCTTTGGGGATGGCACAGTTCCTCCTTGTGGTTTTGGCTCCTTTCATCAACAATATTTAATAGATGGCCGATTAGTGGCAGTTGGTGTCATAGATATCCTCCCAAAATGTTTATCTAGTAAATATTTGTTCTGGGATCCTGACTTTGCCTTCTTATCTCTGGGCAAGTATTCAGCACTCCAAGAAATAGGTTGGGTGAAAGAAAACCAAGTTCATTGTCCCAGTCTTCAGTACTATTACCTTGGCTACTATATTCACTCTTGCAGCAAGATGAGATACAAAGCTGCTTATCGCCCATCAGAGCTTCTATGTCCTCTTCGTTATCAGTAAGTTATTTAATCTGAATCCTTTAAGAAATTTGCTATTTCATCATGATGTACTTCTTTCATGAATATCTATAGAAGTTACTATCTTTATCTCAAATTGTTGTGGTTGCTTTTCAATATCTCTGCCATGGTTATCAATTCATGCCATAGCTTGTATTCCTTTGTAATGTTGTCAGACACTGTATTTTTAATTGTAGATTATGCAAAATGATCAACACGTGCCATCATGATCTTCCAGCCTGTAGATGTGTTATATTGACCTTGCTTGCCTCTTGGATTCTGATCACTTTTTGTCGGCATCCTTTACTGTGTTTCGATGAGGCTGATGAGTAATGCGTGATCTACAGGTGGGTTTCATTTGATATCGCAAAGCCTTTGCTTGACAGAAAGCCATATGTTGTTTTATCAGATTCTTCCATTGTACAAAATGGAGGGTCGTCCCAGCCTCAAGGTACTGAAGATGTTTTGGAAAGGCATCTTGATGTTGACCAACAAGATGCAAATGATGTTCCTATGGATGAAGATGAAGAAATGGTTGAGTCTGAATCGGAAGGTTCTGACGATGAGCCTGGTGCAGAAATGACCTCATACAGTGACACGGACGGTGATGTCAGCAAAGTTTTACTTGGGTTGAATGATTCTCGCTTGAGATACAAGGTATGACTGCCGAAGTCTTGGCCTTGGGTGCATGAATACTCTGAACCCAGATATTCCTCTCTCTTCCTGGAGCTCAACGTACTTAAAAATTCTGAAGAAAAACTGTAGAAAATAAATTATTAGTTATTAGTTATTTTCGATCTGTGGAAATCAGTTTGGTGTTACTCTTATATACCCTGTGGAACATATGTATGCAACAACAACTAGCCTTATCCCACCATAGCGTTGTATAAATTGATATTATTTAAAACAAACCAATATTTGGTATCATATAATTTCTTTACGAAATAAACTGCTCTGGGATAAAGGTAAGCTTCTGAGGGGGCTAGTCAGTAATCGCATATAACTTGCACTAAAACATCTAGCATAAACTCCTTGTCTCAGCCTTTTGCCCTTTAACTGCTTTTATTCTCTTGCCCCCCTGACACACACTCCTTGTATATGAAGGATATGCGAGGTGCCTTTGGTCCGGAGGACCAGAGTTTATTGGAATCTCAGTTGCGGAGATACAAGAGGGTTGTGGGTCCAGAGTTATGTGAGCGAATGGTCTATTCACTGGGATGATCTTGAGATATGGCCTTAGAATCGTGAAGACGACTGCACATAACTCAGGATGGAAGATTATCATTTAGATAAAAATGACCCATGTATGCCGCAGTTGATGCTCGATCACCTCTAGGAATGGAATTGGCGTCACAACAAATGAGGAAATGGCCAGGAAACTCTGTTGCTAATTTATGGATTGCTTTATCTTTTGGTGTTTTGTTTGCGTTTCCCGTATGATAAAGTCTTTGCATGTATGTTCTTGCATTCTTTGATGACATATCTTTACCGGCAAAGTGAATTGCAGATTGGGCTTTGGATTTTCACCAGTTAGTTGCTCAGTTTAAGCAGTTTATTAGCTTTCAGATTCCTGCAAGTTTGCTTCCTATCAAACCGGGTTGTGAGAGGTAGGATTAATCCTATCTTATTATGGGAAGGAACAGGTTCCAGGTAGATTCGGCCCTTTGGAAACTTGATAGGTTCCTGGGATGTCTGATATAAGAAAGTAAAACTCCTTAGTTGCCCGGAATAGACAGGTTTAATCCTACTCCTATAATATATAGGAATAGGATTAATCTTCCTCCACTGCTTAAGAGAGAGAAAAGTAGTGCGAAAATTATTTTAAAAGACTAGATATAGTGGCGCTAGCAGCAATCAAGGTGGCCGGCCTTGAACATGGAAATTAGAAACTAGGGGCCTTGACTTCAAAGTCAACATCAACTGGCACCACCGCACTAGCATTGATATTTGGATCCAGTCCACCGTTACTTCTATCTTCTTTTCCAATATCTTTGGCAAAGGTAAAGACTTTTGGCATTAATGCCTCAAGTCTAAATACGAATCATGAACCAGTTGATAATTTGCGGAATCTCTAGCAAGGGTAATTTAACTAAAGATATCTGCGTCTACGTTAACACGAGTGATGGTTTTATATTTTTGGTGACATCGGTATATTTAGTTTTTAAATAATATTAAATATGAAATACGATTTTATTTATTTTAATATATTTATTACCGTGATCATATTTATTTATAGTTGGCCAAAAAAATGATCATATTTATTGATCGTGAAATTTTGCATTAATTATTTAAGTCGTCATTCTTAATTATTTTGTTTCATAAAAGAAAATTTGACTGCACGAATTTCTCTTTAATTATAAACTACTTAAGGTTAAATTATTTTCAGATTAATAAGGAAATTAAAATATAATTTACCTCAATTTTGAATAAAACATCTTTTAATGACTAAAATTATTTTTAAATTTAACAGAATTTATCTTTTTGTTTTTTAAATGAAAGTTTTTAAAAATAGAAATCAAATACACCCTAACATAACATTTTTTTAAATTTTTTTTACTTTAATCACTAAAAGGTAAAATATATTCAAAAAATAACTTAGATTAATTTTACAACTTTGAAAATAATAATTTATATATTTTTTATGTTGCAATCTGAAGAGTTCAAACCCAAGACAATCCACATCCTGCCCCGCCTTGAACTAACTCATATGACTAGTTATATATATATATATATATATATATATATTAATCAGAATAAGGATGACCAAACATGTACAAGAAATTCAGAATAAATAAGTTTATTGATTTAAGCAAAACATTATCAATTTTTTTTAAACAACATTTATAAAAGGATTACTTATACTGCTGAGGGCATTTTAGTCAAAATAAATATAATGATTATTTTTCAGTTTCAAGGAAATTATAATTTTTATAATGAAAACGAGATGTACAGTGGAGCCACCCCTGAAGAAATTATTGTTAGTTTGCCCCATAGCTATGCATTCCTGCGTTGAGACAAATATCCGAGTCTCAGGCTCTTGGCATATCAACAGGCTATTTCAGTGCTTCAGAACAATGGTGTCATTGGATTCAGTAAGCTAAAGAAAGTAAATTTTACTTAAATGACGTTTGATTAGCTTTCCAACAATCCGTTACTTTACTGTAGTACTGTGATTGCTTGAAAATGACAGGCCCTGCTTATATCAATAATCTACCATTGCGAAAAATTTAAAAAGAAAAGATTTATCACAACTTTGAACATCAATTTCATATCAGGATCAACAATCAGGTTCAAAAGTCATCAACAGTTAATGGGCAACATGGACAATTGCCCATACAAATCCACATTCATTGAAGGATTACAGCACGGGTTAGAGAATGTACAATTGACAATAGGAGACTGGAGATGATTAAGCATCATCTGCATCACTTCCACCAACATGTGCTTCATGACTGACCCAATAATTGCTTCCATCAGGACCTGACACCTTGTACCTGCCCAATAATAAACTCATCTGAACCACCACATAGCAACACAAGAACATGACTTCATATTAAATTGGCAACGTTTTTTCTCACTCAACATTTCTACTGACCGTTCAAGAACAGACTTTCCTTCCTTGTACTTCTGGCTTTTTTCATAGGCAGTCTCCTGAAAGAAACCATCAGAGTAACTCAATGCTTACATGTAAACAGGCAAAAATCATGAATCAGAGTCCGTGACTTTTGAAACACTGCCTCCGAATCTTACATATTTCCACCCCACAATTGATCCACAACCCACACAGAAAATGTCAGCCACAGTGTGCAACCCAGTCATCATCATTCTCTCCTCTTTTTCTCCAACAGAAACGTTCACTCTGTCAAAGAATAAAACATTTGAACTAAATCCATGAACGTAACCAACAGCTATATAATCACGTCTCAGGCTTTAAAGGTCCAAAGGCAACAGCTATACATAGTTGTGCAGCTATAAGATCCAGAATTACCATGTCTGCGTTGAGTCTTGATATACTGAAGGGAGTGGAGTTAAACAAGACTAGTAACAACCATGCACTGTTCTTGTTACATTGTTGTGATGCAGATATGGTTTACAAATTGATAGGCTCCTCGTGAATGAAAGAATAAAAGAAATAACCCAGCGGACATACACAAGGCAAACAAGATAATTAATAAGCTGTATTCTGAATCGTCTATGACCATTACTCAGGAGTAGATCACTAATATGGGAATTCTCGGCTCCCTTTGGAGGACACAACAATCTTTAGTGTCTATAACCAAAGGTCTGCGTAATTACTCAATATAAGAAAAGAATGAGTGCTCGTTTTATTTTCTTGATAATCATCCAATGAATAGGAACCCAGAGTGTAGTCTTGAGTAACTTACACCTTATTGAAGAGATAAGCTTTCCCATGTCTGCAGTGGAAAGACTGAATAAACACAGTCAAAACTTATAGTCAATGTCCAGTAAAAACGTTGTGGATGAAAACATTGTTATCAAGTCAACAACATTCCTACACGCACAACAAAAAAGAAAGAAAAAAAAGGAATAAAAGCCTAAGCTAAGAAAGATGAAGATGCAAATTAAAGATTGTGACTTAATTGACGCTTCATCAAAAGAATTACTGCTCAACTTTTCTCTAACCAAGATATTAAATAGGTTCAAGTCGACTAAAATGGAACAAAATTTTACCTATAGGAGGAGCACTTCTCTGCATGTTAATATGAAAGCATGCCTAAAACTCCTTTACTTATCAAACTATAGTTGCATGACTTATATTTGCTAAAAGCATAAAGTTATGAAACTCTAAGTAGAATTTCATGGCCGATCTGTGGAATATGCAGAAGCAGCAGAAAAAACCATGTCAACGTTGACTAGAGGAGAAAATCAGAGGATGACTAATTTCTACAAATGCAAAGTGAACCAGGAAATTGTCTACTTCCTCCTATTGTGTAAACGTAACATAAATATATACTATATTCCAGAAACGAAGCCAAAGAATCATACTCTGAATTCCACGAGTGCAGACAGCAAGAGAAAACAATTGAAAGCATGAAAACATGAAACAGGAAGCAGTAAGCCTCTGTAAGCTTCTAGAGAAACATAAACCACGTTTTAGCCGTTGTACATTAAGTAGCCACAATGTGATTAGGAAAAGACGAGCAAAATTTTCTAAACAGAATACCATATAAAATACATGGTCAGAAGGTAAAGCTCTCCACTTCTAAGAAGGCGAGTACCAAAATGCAATTGAGTAAACATCAACAACCCTTCATTATATATGATGGACACCCACGTAAAAGACCATGTCTTAGCATAGTTAGACTCTTCTTTGGTAACTAACAAACGCCCCGCGCAATTACATTGGCTATCACATGATAGAGAACAAGACATCCAATTGATAGATAACAATAATCTGACCAAAATCAATTTACGTCTACTACGATCCCAGAACAAAAATACATTTACCATTAAAAGATATAAAGCGATCAAACCTTGGATACGATGTCTTCAACAAGAGCGAGATGGGTCCGGCAGTGTTTGCAGCTATAGATCTTCCCCTCGAGATTGACGACAAACAACCTCCCCATGGCTGGAATCTCGACCAAGAAAATACTTGTCTGAAATTTCTATGCAATATGTGAAGGTCAAGAACGATTTAGATAAACGGCCGTACTGAAAATCAATTCAATTTATTAGAGATCACCCAGGGATCGAATGCGAAGAATATAACATTCGTTGAGCCATGAATTAATTTAAACATGGGCAAGGAAAGTGGAGATGCGAGAGATGAAAAGAAAAGGAATCGACGAATATTACCTCTCTCCTCTGGAATACTACGATGAAGCAAGAAATGTGGACGGTGAAGCTATCACATTTATCGTTTCTCCTGTAAAAAGACTAAAAGCAGAATCTGACAAGACGTCCAAGGCACGGTTTTATTTTATTTTATTCTCTTTCAATTATTTATTATGCAAGTGGTTTCTCGCTTGCATAGGAAAAAACTTAATGCGTGATTGTCTTTTAAACTTATTATGATTATGATTTAATCTTTATGACAACTAAATTATGAGACCGAATCACATACCAAAAAAAAAAATTATAAGACCGAATCTTCTAAAATTAGTAAAGGCAGGATGAATATGAATGAATATGAATAATGAAATAAAATCACGTGCCAAATATATCATTTTTTATTCTTTAGTTATTTATTTATCGAAATAGGAATTGAACTTTTAAAATGTGTAATTTCAGCTTTCGTATAAAATCTCAATAAAATAGATTAATTTACATAAAAAATTTTAAATTATCTAAAAATATCAAATCAGCCCACATCCATTTACATCTAATGGATTAAATTATCACATTAAATTAGTGGCCAAGAAAAATAAGGCATTAAAATGAAAACATAGATATTAATCTTCACAAAAGAGAGAAATTCTTATTAGTGGCATGCTTTTGACTAAAATATAGAATATTGATAATTAATTTATGATTTACAAAATATGTTAGTTGAAACCTTAATGTCTTAAAAAAAAACTTACATATTTCCTATTTTATCATTATTAAATATTCTATACAAATGTTTTGATAATGATAATTAAAATTTTAATATATTATTTTTTTAAATGAGTAATAAATAAAATAAAGGTATAGTTAAAAATAATTATATAAGTTATCCAATATTTTATATTTTGAATCAAATAAAATTTTTAAAAAATACTTTATGTTATGGTTTAAAGAGAGTAATTCTTTAGATACTGGCAATAATGGTTGACTTGAATGAGAAAGGTTGGATAATTTTAAATTTTAAAAATGCCTAGAGTTTAAGCTTGTAAATTAAAAGTTTACAAAATAAGAAATTACTCTCTTCATCCCTATATATAATGTATTTTTAACCAAATCATATATATCAATAAAAAAATTTTATTTATTTGAAATCACATATCACAATAATTTTTTAATTTTTCTCCTAATAATATCATAATTAATATTATGGATTCATGCTGGTGGAAAAATCACACAATTAATATCTTTTTTATTTTTCAAGACAAAAATAAAATATTTTAATTACTTAAAAATATCATTGATATCTCTTATATTAAAAAAAAATAAGCTTTCAGAAAACCATTGTATACAAGGACGAAGGGATTATGTGAGTAATAAGCAGGATACTTTTTTATTTTGAATGAATTAAATATGTCAAATACTGAATGATTTAAGTAGAATTTTATTAAAGGCTTTTAGATATGACATAATTTTAATTGAAAACCAAAAAGTTATGAAACTTCATTGCATGCATATATGACTAAAATGAAATAAATTATCCTGATTAAAGATTTAAAATACCCTTCAATTATAATTAACATCGCTGAAATAATAAGTTATGTTTTTAACAAGTAACATTACTAGAATAATCAATCAAGTTATGAGCTTTTAAAGTAATATTACTAGAATAAATGAAACTTCTTGTTTTTCTTGTAATATTTCTTATAAAAATCACAACTTAACTTATTATTATAGCAATATTATTTGTAAAAAACCATGACTTAGCTTTTTATTTTACTAATGTTCTTGTAAAAACCCTAACCTGACTTTTAATCTAATAATATTATTTGTAAAAACCGTAAACTAATTTATTTTTCTGATAATGTTACCGTAAAAAAGCATAACTTAACTTGTTGTTTCAGTAATATTAATTATAGTTTAATGGTATTTTGATCATTCAACTAAAAAATTTTATTTCATTTTGATCATCCACTCCTACATTGAAATTTAAGAATTTTTTTTATCTCAATAAAAATTATGTCACATTCAGGGACCTTTCAGTGAAATTCTCCCAATGATTTGTATGAAAAAAATTGCAAGATGCTAAATCTTGCAAAATAAAAGGTACAAAATAAAATACTAGAAATTTTGGGCATGTAAAACCAAATTATAAAATATCCATACATTTAATATAAAAAAATTCTAATAAACTGCTTTTGTTATAAGCCGACGTGATTTATTTTTTTAAAAAAATATATACAATAGAAAAGAATAATAGTTTATATGTAAAACTCTTTATTTGTAATTTTTTTTTTTTTCGTATCATCCACTAGTCTTCTACCAACAAAAACGAAGAACGTTTTTAAAGGCATCCTGTCATGTTATCATGTTAGAGATAAACACGGGATATTATTTATAACTGACATTCAAACAAACAATGAGGGGAAAAGTAGATGACTTTCGTTTTTCTCTTTTCCAATAATTTGCAAACTTCACGGGAAAGAATTCCAACTAGAAATACAATTTCTATTCAAATATTTCCCCATCATTGGATAAGGCAAATGAGGTTTTCTAAAATTTATCCAAAGAAAGTGAAACTAAATATTTGGATTTTGAAAGAAGTACTAAGAGCCACTTCAATATTAGGCATTTGCATCTTATATAGTCGTTTTCTCCTTGAGTTTGCAAGCATCTTCAATCCCTCTAGCATCATGCAATTGATATGACAAAATTAAAAATTAAAGTTATCTTTATCTTTTCACCCTATTTAAAATATTATTGAAAATTCTAAACTCAATTGTTTATCAATTTATTCTCAAATATTAGAAATTCAATCATTGTGCCTATAACGATACTTTTTATTAAGTGAATTCACATATGAATTTTTAAATATTTTTATTATAAAATATTTAAGTAAATTTTACAGTTTATTTTTTGATATTTTTTTCAATCTCCCCCTTCCATTTGCTTCTCTCTTCCCCCCCCTTCTCTCTCTCTGTGACACCCTCCCTTTCCTTCTCTCTCGTCTATTTCTCCCCTCCCTCCCTCCTCCCCCATTGTCTCTTATTACTACCTAACTAGATAAGATTTGGTGAAGGCATTGAACCAAGTGTTCACTGTAAGTCCTTAATTGTTTCTCAGCCTCTAAGAGCAGCTTTAAAGCATGTTTTAACCTCCCCAACTTTGACTCATTCACTAAGCACGAAGCCCAATCATGCATCTCATAATTAGACAAGTATTTTAGTGCCCCTCATGAATATAACACATCAAGACAAGGAATGCATGTCCGTTGGTGTGCCATTCCTGAAGAACCAACCAATGAAGATACACTCAAGTTTGTGAAATACGGATGATTGGGTGACAACCCCAAACTTCTCCCCCTACCATAGTGTACTCTAGCGACACCTCGTCATCGGTCTACTGGTAATGGCTTGGCCATTGAATCTGGAACCCTCAACCTTGTAAATGAGCTTGGGTCAAATGTTTGGGACTTCGAAACTTCAAATCTAGATCTAGGTGTCTCCTCTGCTGTCCTACAAGACAACGGCAACCCAAATCTATGTGAGCTTTGCATTGGTTGAGAGAAACCAGAGAAAGAGTGGGTGGGGAGAGAGTGAAAAAATATTAAAGAAAATGAATTATTGGCCCCACCAACACTAACAAATGGGGTATATTAAATTAGGGTCAAAGAAGAGATAACACTTAAAGTTAAAAATGATTCTTAATTTTAAAATTCATATATACTCCCGCCGAATCACTCTGAGCTTGTTTGAAATTATTTTTGTTTTATTATTTTAAAAATTAATATTTTATAGAACATGTTCTAAAAATAAAAAAATAATAAAAATAAGTATTTTTTAGATTTTTTCTTTTCTCCAAAGCAATAATCCCATAACATTTAAAAGATATTTTTTTATTCTTCATAACAATATTTATTTTTTATTCTTTAAAAGAATTTTTGAAAACATGTTGCCAGACAAATTTTTTTATTTTTTTGTTCTGAAAAATATAAAACTATTCTTAAAATAAGTTTTCAAACAAGCCATGTATTCCTGCTACATTTATTTTTTATTTTTGACAAATTGATGCATTGAAAATTATTATAGGTTTACATGGAATGTTTAATGAGAATGTAATTAAAAAAGATATACAATTTTTTTAAGAAATTAGATTTCACCAATATTATGTATTGTGATTATAAAATATATTTCACCGATGCCCTGTATTTCTAACTTTTTTTTTAAATTATAAAATAATCATCAATGTCATGCATTGTGATCTAAAGGAGTAATTAAATAAACACCAATATGTTCTTTAGGCAACATGGTGTGATTTTGTTAGCTGCGAGCAAACAATTTAGCTAAATTCTTACCGCCTCTTAATACAAATCAACAAGACCTGGTGGCAAAAACTGAGACCTTGGCATTTTACCATGCCGTCCAAATTCTTTTTCCCTCCCTTCTTTTAACAAAAATCATATTCTCCCTTGATACAAACGAACACTGGAGCTTTGGAAAACAAAATTAGGAATCTATATCTTACCTATAGTAAAACATAAAAAGATTCACTGTTTATAAAACAGTAGATTTAACAGTGCCGTGGGACCCACAATTGCTTTTTCTTAATTCAATTATTTCTTTATCAATGTTTTACAATATTTTTCTATTTAATTCCGTGCATTGCACAGGGGGTATTTTCGAGTTTATATAAATTTGAGATGCATGATGAACAGTAAATGAACAGTGATTAATAAAAAATGCCCCCAAGCATCCCAAATTTATATTTATAGATTTGTCACTGTTGGATGGTACTGTAGATCTGACTTTTTTATGTTTTTTTTTTTAATTCGTTACCCATGTAACTTTTTTTTTTTTCTTTTTTCAGCTTTCCGGATGGGAATGTTACATCCAACTTTTTCTTTTTTCTTGTTTTTTTACTTTTATTTGCTAACTTTTTTAATATTATATAGTAAATAAAAAAGAAAAAAATAATGTGAGCCTTATAGTAAAAGAAATACATGTGAGATCTATAAAAAATAAATTGTTAATACAAAGCTTATACTTAAAAATGAGAAAAATATTGTCTATTTTTATATTAATTAATAATACCTTACTTCTATTTTTTGAAATATATATGAATATTTTTTAACATGAATAGTTATAAAATGCAAGCCCTCCTTCTATTTTTAAGATTTTATTTTCATCCACCTAACTATTAATAAACCGTTAACTCACGTATGTTGGACTAAAATACTCTTATTTAAATATAAATATTGTCTAACAATTATTTAAATTACAAAAATATTTTTGTAATATTTAAATGTATTTATTTTGTAAATTTTTAAAAAATTAAATATATATATTCGCCAAGATGTAGTGTATGGACTTAATAAAGAGAAAAATAAAATAAAATAATTTTTAATAATTTGGGATAGTTAAATCAGCCTAAATAAATTTAAAAGTTAAAGGTGTTAAGAATCAGGCTCAACTATAAATTTTTTATATGTTCAAATATTTTAAACTTGATATAAATTGAGGCTCTAAGTGTAACGAAGGAAATGTAATATTTTAATAAACTTAATTTTTAAAAAATTGAAGTAATGTGATTTAAAAAAGTGGTGTGTAGACCTACCATTAAAAAAATATGAGTGCGGTCTACATTTATAAATTTTAAAAATTTAAACAAGATGTAAAAGATAATAAGATTTTTATATTTTGAGACATCATAAAAGATTTTATACTAAAAATTGATAGTGAATATAAAATTTTAGTAAAATAATAGGTGTTATACAAAGAATATATTAAATATTCCCTCCTTAAAAAATATAAGGTATTTTTTGAGAGGTTGAATGTTAAAAAATGCAAAGCATTTTTAATTTTTTTTAAGTGTAATTATTATATTTTTTTAAAGTGTTCTTATTAAATAAATTACTTTATATTTATTTTAAGTGAAACACCCTATTAAATAGGGATAAATATGAAAAAAAAAGATTAATTTGAAAACAAGTAATGACTTTATTGAGTTGAAATTTAGTTAAAAATATTTTATATTTTTTAATGATGAGAGTATTTATTATTAACACATGATAACAAATCAAAATAGTTTGTATGAGCATATATAAAACTAGTTTTTGTTTCTATGCTTCAAATGCATAAGGAATAAAAATCTATTTTTCTATTATTTATATTTAAAAATTGATTATGATTTGTACACCTATTAAAAATATTGATGCAGTTATGTGCCTCAAGTCTAAGCAACAAGAATTACGGGATATAAATTAATTATATAATATTATTGAATTTATCTTTCACTGCACATCTAATCTTTTCTTAATAATCATTGTATTACTTGCAATACTTATATATATGATTGATAAATAGTAGTAAAAGATGGATTATATTATTTGGTTGATTTAGAACCATTATAATTATGATTTATAAATAACGTTATCACATAAAATGGAGTGTGTTTTATTTTTCTTAAAGTGATATACGGGGCAACACATTTTAGAAAAGAACAAGTTAGATTATATTTCAAATTGTAAGATGTGAGAAATTTTAAAAAAATAATAATATTTGTTAATATGTATAAGAATAGCACATTACAAAATAGAAGCCATTTTTCATAAGTATCATCTCATTAAAATTTTAGTCTCATACTTGCCAATTGTGAGAATGTCTTATGAAACAAGAGGAAAAAGAAGAAGAAGTGTTTTTTAAATTTTATCTTACATGAGATAATACATTTAAAATAAAATAAGTTATTATTTATATTTTTAATATGTATGAATATAAAAAATTTTAAAATAAAAATATTCTTTAAATTTTAATTTGCACAAATTAATAAATTATACAATAAAATACACTAGCAATCCTTTTATTTTGTTAGAATTATAAAGACTCCTTCTTTATTTTTAAAACTTACACTTTAGTCTCATTAATCAAGATTATAAAATTTAAATAAACATAAACATAAATTATATTAACTAATTTATCTCTTATGCCATTAATTTTTTTTTTGCATATATATATTTGAAATATTATTTTAATAAATTTACTCTCTTTGTTAAAGGAGTCATTTCTTGGGAGTTGGATATTAAAAAATATAAAATATTTTCAGTGTTTAAAGATGTAATCATTAACTTTATTTTTTCAAAAATTTCCATAATGAATAAATTATTTTAAATTTATTTTAGAGTGAAACACCCAAATAGTGAATATGAAAAAATGATATTATTTTAAAAACAAGTAACTACTTTATTAAGGGTGAGATTCATTTAAAAATATTTTATATTTTCCAAAAGATGGAGTGTGCATTTAATTTTTTAAAAATACTAAATAAATTAGTTTGTATGACTAATAACTTTAAAATATAAATAAAAATTAAAAAAAATATATCAAAAATAGTAACTATCAGTTAATGACTAGATGGGTGAAAATAAAAACTTAAAAATAGAAAGCATGTTTATATTTATAACTCTTAATTATTGATTTCAAAATATATTTGTATAAATTTTAAAAATAAAAAATATTTATAATTAAGATAAAATAAAGGAAAAATAATAAAATTTACTTTAAGCAAATTAAAATATTTTTTAAATATTTACATTTATTTTTATTCTCAAAAACTAAAACATTCCTGGGACATAAATCTAGTTAGCACAGTACTTTTTTCTTTCCAACTTGTGTTCCGTCCCTGGATAACAATATTCTGCCTTGTGTGTTTCTGAGTATCAGAAGTCACGAATCTGTTAATTAAAAATTTCTTGATAATAATGCTTCTAGTGCGTCCATTAAAAAAAAAATGCTTCTTGTGCTTTTCTAAAACTAATATTACTACTTTCAAGAAGCACCTCAGAGGATGCAAATAAAAACAGTTATGACAGCTGCATAAATAAGTTGTCTGAAAGTGCCTTTTCAGTTAACCAAATTCCAGATACATGCCTATGGTAAGCTTATCATTGTAATTTATACTGTCGCTTAGAGAGAGACACACACACACTCAGCATAAGCATTTTCAAGTTGAGTTCTCAAAATGTAATGTTCTCAATTGTTTTTCCAGCACCGAACACATGGGTGGTTATTGTACTTATACCATATCATGAATAAAGTACAATTCAAAAACAGAATACATACAGCATCATACAAAAACATACAGAATACATTAATTCATACATTTGATTGATTGTACAGAGCAGTTCTCAAGTGGGAGTATAGAAAAAAGAATTGAAATTGGAGCGCAGGCGAGGTGATTGACCCAGTGGAGGAGGAGAAGGAGCTATGGAAGTCTCATTGGTGGGGTAAGGTTACGTCACTTGTTAAAGGTAGCAATAAAAGCGATGGGCCCTTTGCCAGTAACAGCAGCTTGAATTGCAAAGATGAGGAAAACCACCATGGCTAACCTGGAATGCTTGATCTCTGCAAGTTGAAGCCTGGCCTTCTCTTCAGGGTCGTTGGCCAAGCCAAGGGGATCGAAGAACTTGCCACCTGGGTATAACCTTTTTTCTGGGTCAAGTTCTGCATTTCTTTGGAATTCAATGTAGCCTATCAGTACCACCTCGATCCAGATCAGTGTGGTCAATGAGAATGGAAGAGGAAGCCCCAGATAGGATGATCCTTCCACCAGCTCTACCTGATCATGGCAGTCACCAAAACAAAACCATTATACCTGATATATTTCCCTACTGATCAACCTTCTGACAATATGGATGACGCAAAAAAAATCAGTCTAACTTTAATTTTCGTACAAATTTCAACTTTTAAGAAAAGGTTGAATCAAATTCTTTAGTGTTTGTCATGTGGTTTCTGGATGAAATTATGATATGTGAACAACTTTAATTTTAAGCAGTTCTTGTTATATTGCTATTCAAGAACATTGGAGCAGAGCCCCCCCCCCCCACCCCCAAAAAAAAAAACCTTAAGCACCGTAGATCTATGACATTTTAGATTCACTCAATTTATAAGAAGATAATGAGTCGTTACAAGCAAACTGTGAAGTTCAGATTATTTGTGAAATAAACTACACGCACAGAAACATAGAAATTCTGATGAATGATTATGTCAAAAGTGTTGGCAAAAAAAAAAGAATGACTATGTCAAAGGTGTTTGAAAATCACTCATTTTTCCTCCAAAACTAATCCACACATTTGTGTGGGAGAGAAAAAAACACCAGATGGTGGGACCCACGTACAGGCGGTTCCGCTGAGCCCCACCCTTCTTGTCTTCATGCGAAATAGCAACAGAGAAAAAAGAAAGAGTAGTCCGGTTCTGACTAAAAGCGAAATTTAAAAGAGAGAGAAAAAGAAATTGGAAGTGTGGAATAACGTATACAACATCGTAAAAAGTTTGTCTTCATCGTTGTTGTCCACAGGAGTCATAATCAATCATCTTGAGCACTATTGTGAATCAGTGATATTCATACTGTAAGCAAGTGGACCACGATAAGCCACACTCAGCAAAAAGCACCACAAGGCGTATTACGCCACATACAGGGAGGTTCATAACAACGATATCATACCGTCACTAGCTCATACATCCATCAACACAACACTAAAAAAATCAACATCTACATGGGAATTCCACACTCTCAAGCGTTGAAATTCAATACACATTAACAGGTTTTAGCATTGTTAGTTCGACACAGGCAGATTGTGATAACGCTATACTGAAGAAAGCTCCATTTGATCAGCGATCACCAAACTGTTTGACTATCTCAGTGATTGAAAAGAATGGTGGGTTAGGTCAGGTGCATACTCAATTTTCACACAAGCATTTAAACAAACACATAGAGTACCTTTCCAGCGTCTTGCCATGCGACTCCAGTGAGTGCCTCAACGGCCAAGGCACCGAGCGCTCCCAGCATTGCCCACCTCCCATGAATCAGCTCACACTCGCGGAACCTTTGCAACCCGAAAACCTCCGTGTACGGCTGAAACGGAGTCGGTTTAACCTCCGTGGTCTCCAATCTGGTTCCAATCACGTCCCCGGCCACATTCTTAGCCAGATTCTGGTCCAGCGAGTCCAAGTCGAACTGCAAATACTCAGCGGGCTTCCCTAGCCCAAATGGATCGAACCCACGGTCTCCCACCATGGTTCCGTCGAGCCATTCTGGCGGTTTGGCACCCGGGAACCACACGAGCCGATCTCCAGATGGTTTGGTGTTGAAGGACGGCTTTTTTTTGGGGGGCGGAGGAGGCGGGGCGGCCTTCTTCTTGGTGCCGAACTTGAGCAGGGCGTGGAATCTGCCGGAGTCAGAGGCGATATTGTTGGTGGTGAGACGGGTACCGAAGAAGTATGAGGTGGCGGTGGCAGCCATGGGAGAGCGGTGGAGCAGTGAGGCGGGGGAGAGATTGGAAAGGGCAGGTGGGAATGGAGGTGGAGAGTGATATATTGTGTGAAAAATGAAAAATAAGGAATTATCAATTATGTGATGGGAAGGAAAGAGAGGGAGAGGCTTATCTCTGCCTTATCTGAATAGCCGGCCTTGGATGGTTGATGGCAGCTTCACCTCATTTGTGGGCCCCGTTGGGAAAATTTATTATTTTACATTTTAGGTTTCAAAGAGAACAACGACCCCCCCGAGGATTTTTCAACAATTAAAAATAATATTGCTCGTTAAAACTGAATTAATATATTGATAATTAAAAAAGTAACGGGGCCTTTTGATATTTCAATTAAATATATTTTTTACTGTTGAGTATTTAGTATTTACAATGATTTTTTAATGTATACTTTCTGCCTATAACATAAGACGCCTTTTAATAAGATTCTTTAGTTATTAATAATTTTTAGGTAAGGTCTTCAAAAATATAAAATATTTTAAATCTTTTAAAATATAATTAATAATTTTTTTAAAAAATACAGTAATTAATAAGCTTTTATAATTAAAATATTTTATTAAATAAATATAAATATGAAAATAATATAATTTTAAAGATAATAAATTAATTTATTACACGTATAATTTAGTTAAAAATATCTTATAACATTAAATAAATGAAGTGTAACACATTTGACAAATATTAATTATGTTTTTATAATATTACTTTTATTTAAAATCATTCATTATAAAATAAAATGTGATACAAGTTTAAATATTTTTATTGAAACATAATAAAATTGCAAGTTTATTATATTTTTAAATAAAATTAATAATTTAACCATTCAGTGGTTAGAGAAGTGTCACATTAACCGAAAAGATATTTAGTGAGAATCTATTGCATGCTTTTTTAAAAACATAATAAAGGAGACAAGCAAGAAATTAAAATTTGTTATGATTATAAATGATAATTTAATTTTTTAAAATATCATGATTTCACTTAAATTTATGAAAATTTTTATGTCAATAAATTTTAAAATAAAAAATTATTTTAATTTTATCAAAAATAATAAGTCACAATCACAATTTTTATTATATAAATTGCAAAAGTTGAAAAGAAAATCACAATTTATAAGTGTAATTTCTATTATTGAAAAAAAGCTCTAATCAAAACTTTTACTTAACAAATAACACTTTTTGTTCTATGAATTACAAAATTGAATAAAAAATTATAATTTATCAAGTATAACTTTTTGTTATTGAAAAATAAGTTTCGATCTCAACTTTGCTTAGAGAATAATACCTTTTATTCTATAAATTGAATGATAAATTATAACTTATCAAATATAAATTTTATTATTGAAAAATAATTTCTCAAAATAACAAACATCAATCACAACTTTTATTTAAGGAATAACATTTATTCAAAGAATCATAAAAACTGAACAAGAAAGCATAACTTGATGATGAGAGTAAGACGATCTTTTTAATTTAAAATTTATGAGTACAAAAATTTTTAAAAACTTTAATAAAATTATAATATCTTGAAGGACCAGATTGCTATTCATCAAATTTTGATTATTTGGGCTTGTCGCTTTTATTACCGCTGTTTGCTGGTCTATATGGAGATTCATCATTAAGCTTCTCATTGTTTGGCATTTGCATGGGGAGCATGTATCAAAATGAATATGTGTGGGCCTTATTCTCCTTATTTCTTCGGGCCTGTCCATTTAAATGGGTAAGAATATATATAATATATATGGGCTGAGAACTGATCCAATAAGAGTGGAACGGTCTGCGTAAAAAAATTATGTTTCACTTGAACCTCGAGGAAAAAGATACTCACATATGGAAGAGATTCACTTTAGTCCAATAGGATATATAGAAGATGAGCTCTGCTAACTTCAAGGATCTAACTCAGATTTTTTTTTTTTAAGGCACATTTCATCAGCTTGAGGTACACCAACATCAATTCCTGAAAACCATCAATTTCAACATAAAGTATAAACTTTATAACAACTAACAAGTTACACCATACAATAGTATAGATGGAAACATGTATATCCATTGGTTATAATAGAAAGGGTTATAATTGCTTAAACACAAAATCTCAAGTTCAAATTCTATAAAAAAAAATTTAGGAGAACTATTTATGATTGGACCTGGCAATACTTGAATATAATATAGTCAGACATGATTATATTTCAAAAAGAAGTGAAATCATGTGAAGTTACAAGCTAAGTTGGGCAAGTGGTGATTAAACAAAAGATGGAATTGAAGCAGAAAGACAGGAAGATGAAGTGATGATGGCATGCCATCACAATCCTGGGTGTTTGGTGACAAAGTAGTGCATGGCCATATTATGGCTCCCTAAAAGCATATACCACGTAATTGGATCAAATATCTGCTCACAAACTGGATCTTCATTCCATTATGACACTCCACCCACTTTCCAAGCCCCATTGTAGCCTGTAAAGACAACCACATCAAAACAAAAACACTTAACATAATTCAAATCTATAAGGGCACCATTCAATTTTTTCCATCACGCCATAAAAGAAAACAAGAAGAAATTTGTGAATCTAGAAAACTCAAAATTGGAACTTAAACAATTAAAAGTGATCGACTAAGAAATGAAAATAAGGAAGACGCCGGGGGTATAAGAGAGAATTAGAGGGCATGATGAATGACACGAGGCCGTGTCGGGGAATGTCGGGGGAAAGTGAAGAACGTTGATGGGGAAAGGAAAAGGTGAACAGTGAAGAGCCTCCCACAATGCCTACAGATGAACCACTCATATTTTTCAGGTGTGTTGCGTTAATCATGCTTTAAGGTTCAAACCCCTATCTTTAATCCTAATTAATTAATCTCCACATTCCTTCATCATCCCCAATCATACTTTCCAAACGCCTGTCCCAATTCTGTCCCTCCCGTTCCCGCTTAGATTCCACGTGTGGGGGACTCCATGCGTGCGTGTGTGAATGAATGCATCTTGCTTACTTCATACTTATCTCATTTTCTATTGCTTTTTATGTAATTTTGTTTGATATGGTGTAGGTTCAATTTATCAAATTAACTTTTTGTTCAAAAATTTTTTATCAAATTAACCGTTAAATAATATGTATATTTAAATACAAATTTATTTACAATAACAGACTCTTGTTAAATAAATTTTTGATGAACTAACTTTTAACCAACAAAAAATTAAAGGATAAAAAAAATTAAAGCCACGAGAAAAAAATTTCATCTACATTTGCCACGTGAGAAAGTTGCCTTCTTCAAATCTTTTCAACTTTACAATGTTCATTGTCAACTTTTTTAAAGAAGTCATTGTAACTAATGAGTTAAGTCTAAAGATTGTTGGTAGGAATAACTCTATGAAAAACAAAAGAAATAGAGATGAAGAAGAGAGTAGTAGTACATGTTGTCTTCAAGGTGTTGGCAACACTTTCTTTTAGGCTTAATTCGCCCCAACTTATTACAGTCTTCAAGTGCAAGTTAGGTTGATGATAAATTTCCTTCACGATATAATAAAAACAATGAGTTTTAATAACTGAATATACAAAATGAACGGTGGAGAGGCATATTTATAAATATTGAAGTTATGTCTTTTAAGTTACAAAACTCTCTTTAAAAGTTACAACCAATGTTATTTCATAACCCTTATATTAATTCATGAACCTACGTAGTTTAAAATTTAAAATTAACCAAAGATTATTTATAATAAATTTTTATGAAATGAAACATCCTTTTAATATGTAAAATTTTTTTAAATACATTTCTTTTTAATAAATGACACCTTTTAGTTTTATAACCCTCCAAAGATACTTTTAGAATTTAGAGAGACATAACCTTGGTGACTATAACTTTCTATATAACCATTCATACAAATTCCTTAAAAGTACATAACTTCTTGATTTATAAGGATATGACTTTTTAAAATGACATAAATTTTCAAAAGACATATCTTCATTTTAAAAATATTCCAAAAATCTCCTGCCATTTTTAAAATGATTACAAAACTGTCATTATCTTATCACTTCGGACATATCATGCTTTCAATAAAGGTGTCTAAAATACATGAACATTTACTTAGCAAGACATGGTTTCACCCATCCAAAATAATATGATAAACAAAGCTTTGAAACAATTATTCCATGTGAACATGTGTGCATGACTTACATATAAGATCTCAAACCATTGTATGCCGCTTAAGTTGACACTCTTAGTTGACCTTGTGTTCATATCCTTTTCATGAGAGTTTTTAGAGTCAAGCCCTTAAACTCTTAAAAATGGCATCACTTCACTCCCATACAAGTAGACTCTGTTAAAAATACTACAATGATCAATGCTCCAACAAATATATGTTTACAGGTCTGTCAAGAGTAAAATCTTAACATTTACCCTTTTTAATCTTATGGCCACCAACTACTTTTCAACCTTGAAAGCCAATAAGTGTTATTAGGCCAAGTTATTTGTAGCAGGTTAATGTCTTCAAAGTGTGAGCAAATGGAAGGAGCATGTTTGTGTGGTCCAAGCTTGACATAATATAGGGAAAAAGTCTCACATTGTATGTAATTAGGTTAGAGAAGAAATATACAAGTGAAAAAGACATATAAACTTAACGACTTAAAATTTTGATTTAACATGTAATGTTAAATTCACTTATATATAGATATATATATTCTTTTGAAACCATTAGACAGCCCAACTATATTCTTCCCTCCCCTAAGATGCTCCTCAAGCCTAACAAGTGATATCAAGATCCTTTTTTTAAAAGTGATTTAGCATGAAGACAATGGAAAAAGGCTTAAAGATTGTTAACGAGCATGGCTCTCTAAAGAACAAAAGAAGTAGAGATAAAAACGAAAGTTGTGCACGTCATTTTTAAGGTATGGGCATCACTTTCTTTAAGGCTTAATTAGCCCCCGACTATGATGGCAATTCTCTTTTAGGATATAATAAAGATCCTTGAGTATGGTTTACATTATCAAGGCTTAAGTTGAGACAATAATGGTTTATACAAAGTAAAAGTTTGACTTCATTTCTAGGGCACTTGAAGAATCAAGGTAGCAAGTTTCAAGA